TGTATAGCCTTAATAATTTAAGTACTGTTGAATTTTTAAAACTTTGAGCAAAGTTTTTCTGATCGAATTCGATAAAAATTTTTTATATACCAATTCTGCAATTTGATTAGCTGGTTTTGACCATTTATCATGTGATTTTTTCAAATCTGATAACCTCCCAAAACTGATACAGAACCTGTCCACCATGCATACTGGTTTTGAGAGGGCCAACAGTAATATGAAAAATATTATAATATTATTATTTGTTACTTTGTCATTTAGAAGATAATGACAAATGAATGACAAAAATAGATATTATTTTAGATGTTTTATGATTGGTTAAATTCTAAAATACCTGAATTGATACAAAGTTTTAACAATTTTAGAATCCTATAATTAGTTAAAATTTATTATTCTCTTAAATAACAAAATAACAATTGATATATGTTATTTGTCACTAATTTGTTATTTGTCACTAAAATTTAAAATAATATTATTATTTAACAACACTGCTCTATAGACTATCTTCTGTACTTCTGTTACTTCAAACCATCAATCCAAATAGCTTGAAAGGGCTATAACCTGCCCCTAGTTCTTTTAGTTAGATTTTTTTCCTTTGATTACTTTTCTAATAGCCTGGTTAGTATAGTGTTTTTGCTAAACACTTCAGTCCTGTTTGATTTTTATTACCTTTAAATAATAATCATTTACATAATACCATTAAAGATCTGTAAAACCTTTCTGCTCAGGTCTTGCTAAGTGGGCTTCTGTATTCTAATCTGATGGTTTTACTTGGTAGCTTCATTCAAGTTTTATATAACTCATACATTATACTAATATTTCACTACCTTCCAGTACAAGCTAATATAACCTTATTACAAGTGCTAACCTATAGGATATAGTCTTCTAAATGCATTTTGTAAATTCAAATTTCATCACCAGTAGGATTTGAACTCTTGTCCTACTGCTTGGAGACCTTATATACTTTTTAAAAAGATAATAAAAAGGCTAATTTGAATATTTTGACAAATAATTTATCAAATTAATATCTATTAAAATGTCTATATATACTATACAAACTATCATTGTAAAGAAGGCTTTTATAACTAGATTGAAAAGAGAAAATTGTTTGTGAATAAAGCTTCTTTCTTATATCATTTGAAATAAGCTGTATATTAAGAATATTGAAATAAAAGATAAAAAAACATTGTTGAAAGTAATGAATTACAGTTTAAAATGTTTAGAGATAATAGTTATATATATGTTTAAATAAAACCAAAGAAAAATATAATATTGAATATTTGGTTCTTAGTATACATACTATAGAAATAGGTTTTTAAAAAATCTTATTTTATTTCTATTAAAGCAAATTAGAATTTTTTATATATAAGAGCAAATCTAATTTAGATAATTATATTTCTTATAATTTCATCTTTTCAAAAAAAATATCAAAAATTTCATCTTTTATGTAATATAGATCAAAAACAATTTATCAAATTTTATTTTCAGGTTTTAAATCTAAAAATAATTTTATTAGTATGTATAGTTTTTATGTTTAGATTAGAAAGAAAGAATGTAATGATTTGGAAATACTTTAATTACTATGATTCTAGACCTTTGGTTCAAATTTTTAATAAAATAAATTTGAAGGCTATATTAAGATTTTTTTGTAATAGTTTTATTATCTATTTTAGAAGGTTTAAAAACATTGTTGAAAAAAAAACTCTTTTTTTTAAGATAACAATACAAAAATTTATACTTCAACTTTCACCATATTGATTAACTTTCCTGGTTGTTGTACAGCCCCAACCTCAATCCCATTAAACATCTTTGAAACAAATTGGAATATAGAAATCATAAGCATATTCTTCTGCCAAGCAATAAATCAGAGCTATTAAATTTGCTGCAGAAGGAATGGTTTAATCTTGATGGTTCAATTTTTAAACTCTTGTTGAAAGTATGCCTCATCAAATTTGTGCCATGATTAATGCTAACAGAAGTGTTCCGATCCTAAATCCGACCATCTGGATTGATCCTTAAAACCAGATAAATTTTGATATTCAGATCAAAGATTTTTACTCGGATTGGTCAAAGAACTTAAATAACGAACATAAGGATTTGCTTAAAACTAGCTTTAGATCTAATCTGAAACGGATTCAATCCGGATGGCCTGCTAAAGATAGGATCGGAACACTAGCTAACAGTTACCCTACACAGTATTAATATTTGTAAATAAAATGTTTTTGTTTTATTATTAAATAAAAAAATTTTGACCCAAATTATTAAGTGGGTTGTCAAAAAATTGCAGTCATAAAAACTAGTAAATAAATAATCACATTTTGTATAAAATTCCAGTGATCACACCCTGGTGAACTTTACCTCTGGTGAAAATTAGCAATTCTCTAATTTTAAACTTTCAATCTAACTAGTTACGATTTGGTCTCTTGATTATAATATTTTTCAAAATTTGGGCCCTTATATGTAACTGTTTTAACTGTGGTTTTTATTTTCATTTTTTGGACCCTTTTATGTAATTTTCCCATAATTTATCTGTTTGTTTGTTCAATTCCACTAATCTTTAATTTAAGTGGGTTAGAATACAACAATTATGTTAATTCAATTGTTTTTTTATGTAACTGTGACAAACTTTCAGAGAACCTGTCCATTTCATCAATAGCCTTTTCTCAAATGGTTTTGTAATAAAAAAAAAGAAATTTGCTATCCACTTTTTGGCATAGGTATTATCTAACGTTAACACCGACATAACCTAAAATACTGACCATAATTGCCTATAAATTGCCCAGCAAATATTTAGATACGTAAATACAGCATGATAAGGTTTTTGCTAATTTAACCATCCATTCATTTATTTATTGATAATAATATGGACGCAAACCAGCATTTGATTCACCACAATTTATTTATCATTACAATAAACATCAAGCGTATCCGAATACCTTTTGCGCCAAAATTTTTTTTTGTTTTTTACAAAAGCCTTTTTTTAAAAAATCCAAAGAAAGAAAGACAGACATAAATCATTCGATTGCGTTAAAGGAATTATTTTGATAACAACTCTAGAAGTACAAATATGCTTTCAAACTTCATACTTTTAGGCGATTTACACCAAATTATATATACAATATATGGTCTATTCTTTATTTTTCATTCATTAGCTTTCATTTCTCTTGCAATATCTGGAAAGCAAAATTTTTCGTTAAAAAATAAGTACTAAATAATTTAACTAAGCTTAGAAAATATATACCTTCGGCTTTCTTTCTGACGTCATCAATATCGCCAACCATATAAAAAGCAGCTTCTGGTAGATCATCACATTTGCCTTCAAGAATTTCTTTAAATGAACGGATAGTATCCTTTAGCTTAACTAAACGACCTTCGAATCCAGTAAAGACTTGGGCAACAGCAAATGGTTGACTCTAGAAAAGTGTAAGACACTAATTGTGAGATACCGTATGGTAAATGACTTAATTTATGCTTTATAAAATAGGAAATTACATGCTTACCAAAAATCTTTGAATTTTTCTTGCACGCTCGACAGTTTGCTACACACAAAATATGTCAGCGTCAAATTATTCGATACTGTTGAAATAACAATTCAACAAATGATCATACTTTATCTTCTTCAGATAATTCGTCCATACCCAAAATGGCGATAATATCTTGTAAAGATTTATAGTCTTGGAGGATCTTTTGAACATCTGTAGCAACTCGATAATGCTCTTCACCGACGACTCTAGGATCTAACAAACGAGATTTTGAGTCAAGTGGGTCTACTGCTGGATAAATACCGAGCTCGGCAATGGAACGGGATAAGACAGTTGTAGCATCCAAATGACTGTCATGAATGATATATATATATGTATGTATAAAGATATAGAAAAAAAAGGAGAAAGGTAATATAGATATATATATATCGAGCTGTATTTTATAAACTTAATCAAGATGTTTTTTTGTTATTAAAGCATTTAACCTGAAAGTTGTGGCAGGAGCAGGATCTGTCAAGTCGTCTGCTGGGACGTATACGGCTTGAACGGAAGTTATAGAGCCTTTCTTAGTTGTTGTAATTCTTTCCTGCATAGCACCCATATCTGTTTAAATGTTTTGAATTAGTAATGTGCATCGTTATATTATAAATGAGCGACAAATAAAAATCCTTACCAGTACTAAAAAATATCCAATTTAGGTTATGAAAATTGAAAACATTATATTTATGAACGCGTACAAAAATAATTGCGTTTCAAGTTCATAATCAACAGCGTAAAAAGATTAAACTACCTTAGTGTAGGTTGATAACCTACAGCAGAAGGAATACGACCTAACAAAGCAGACACTTCAGAACCAGCTTGAGTGAAGCGGAAGATGTTATCAATAAAGAGTAAGACATCTTGGCCTTCGTCGTCTCGGAAGTATTCAGCAAGGGTAAGACCGGTCAATGCAACACGTGCACGTGCACCAGGAGGTTCATTCATTTGACCAAAAACAAGAGCAGCCTTAGATTCACCGTCAAGTTTGATTACACCAGTTTGTATCATTTCATGATACAAATCGTTCCCTTCACGAGTTCGCTCACCGACTCCAGTAAAAACAGAATAACCACCATGAGCTTTGGCAATGTTATTAATAAGTTCTTGAATTAAGACGGTCTTTCCGACACCTGCACCACCGAAAAGGCCAATTTTACCACCTCTAGCGTAAGGTGCTAACAAGTCAACAACTTTGATACCAGTTTCCAAAATTTCAGGAACTGTCGATTGATCAATAAATTCTGGCGCTTCCGCATGAATAGGGGCAGTTTTTTTCGTTTTGACCGGTCCGCGATCGTCAATTGGTTCACCAATAACATTAAGAATACGACCCAAGCACTCTGGACCGACTGGAATTCTAATTGGAGCGCCGGTATCTACTACCTTTTGACCACGAACAAGACCTATTAAAAGAAGATCGATAAACGAATCGCATTTATTCATACAATTTAGGAAATAAAAGATACGTGAAAAGTTATTGAAAATAGTTCAAGACCTTCTGTTCCGTCCATAGCTATGGTCCGCACAACATTTTGTCCTAAATGTTGAGAAACCTCAAGTACAAGGCGACCACCATCTTTTTGAACTTCCAAAGAATTTAAAATAGGTGGTAAACTTTTTTCATCAAATTGAACATCAACTACGGCACCAATAACAGCCTGGACTACACCAACATTTTCACCCTTCGTTTCAGTAGCAAATGTGCGACCTAATTAGGAAGGAAATTTAAAATAAATATACACTTTCCTGAGCATATAAATATATATAAAAAATAAGGGTACCTATGAAGCTATTAGTTTTTAAACCGCCGGTTCTATATAAATTCCTAAAAGCAATACTATTGAGCACTGGCTTTTGTCTTAAAAGCCGAGTCGCCGCACGATGAATAAATGTCATTTTTCAAATGCCGCATCTAAGTATCAGCCAAAAAAAAAAATATTTTTTTCGAATATTTAAAGTGCCTTGATGATCTTTGTACTACCATGAAAATTTTTGATAATCAATCAGATGTCACGTCTTACGTACTTTCATAGCTCCGTTGTAATTAGCGATTCGGTGATCTTAAATCATGGTGAAAAACTCACTTGCCTTTGAAGCAGAAACTTTTCGTAAAATCCAACCTCAGGAATATTTACGTAGATTTATTCAAGGACACATTAGACCCGATGGAAGATCGTTAAGCCAATTTCGCCCAACCACGGTTAATCAAAGTAAATTATTGGTTTTGTGCTTTACGGCCTTTAATATAGTCACTAATAATACTTATTTCAGGTTGTATAACGACTACAAACGGATCTTCTATGGTCAGGATAGGAAATACTACCGTCGTCTGTGGTATAAAAGCTGAAGTGGCTACACCTAAGTTTAATACACCTCTGGAAGGATATTTAGGTATCATTTTAGCGAATTTGATATGACAAAAATATATCGAAAGATAAACCATCATTTTTGCCGCACATTTATAGTTCCAAACATCGATCTCTCACCAATTTGTTCTCCAAAGTTTAAACCTGGGCCACCGGGTGAACTGGCCCAAGTGTTGAGTGAGAATTTGAATAATTTACTAAAAAGGTAAATTTCATGAATATCTTCAATGATAAAATAACAATTTATTCTATATATATATTTATTTTATTTTTTATTTTTTATTTTTATTTTTTTTTTAGTGCATCTGTATTGGATTTAACATCTCTTTGCATTAAAGAGGGTATAGCTGTTTGGGTTCTTTACATAGATTTGGTTTGTGTTAATTATGATGGCAATATTTATGATGCGTCTGTTATTGGGATGATAACTGCTTTAACAAATGGTACGTCGTATGGATTCGAATATTTTATTTATTTGACGGATTTAACTGTCTTTTTGTATCATTAATAGTAAAACTTCCTGAAGCTACTTTTGAAGAAAGCAGTGGCTTAGTAAAAGCTACTGAAGAGCTGTCAGTCTCTCTTAAACTTCAACGAATACCATATTCAGTAACCGTTGCATTGTTCGATGGGTAAGCTGCTTTATTACGTTAATATTTTATATTGTTATCTATATTATTTGCACTTAACATAGTAACACACCAACAATCATAGGCAGCATTTGTTGGTTGATCCAACTGAAGTAGAAGAGTCGATCACGAGCGAACAAATCACCATTGTTTTCGATGAAGCTGGGCAGTTATGCACAATATGGAAAGCTGGAGGGTTGCCATCTTCACCGGAGCATCTAAAGCAATGCATGAATATTGCGCGAGAAAGATACAAACAAATAAGTATGATTGTGAAAAACTAGAGTTTAGAACCAGGTTATAGTATAACCCTGTTCTAGCTTGTATCTTTCTCGCGCAATATTCATGCATTGCTTTGGTGCTCCGGTGTAAACCGGTCACCCGTGTCAAAATGGTTCAACCGGATCAAAAGGTTACAACTCTGGTCAAAACGGTTGAATATGTAACCTCTAAAAATCTAGCATGGTAGACAACGCGATATTCTAGAGTGGCTTAGCCAATTGAATAAAAAAAATTTTTATATGCTTATAACCGACAATCACGTGAAAATGTTCAACTCTCGCATGATTGAGATTGACCAATAAAATTGCAAATATCATTGTTACATAAAAATACATTGTGGCAGATTAAATAAAATCAGATTAAAATGAAATGAAAGACAGTGTAAAATAGACAAGCCACCGAAAAATACAAATTTTTGGGGTGCATTTTTTGGCATTTTTTAGGGTTAGGATTAGGGTTTAGAAGCAGTTTTTATAATAAACAAATATAAGTGGTTTTAGAGGCTCAAATAGAAACCCTTTATTTCATTTTAATCCGATTTCATTATGATCTGCGACAGTTATTATTTAAACTTTCTAGTTTTTTACTTGGCAAAACATACAGTATATTTAAGTAATAGTAAAGCTATCAAATTTATGAATCTTTATTTTAATATTTAGAATAAAGCTATTTAAATATTAGATAGCTTTGATAATATTTTGTATTTAGATTTGGATAAATATAGATACCGCACCCGGCGATGTGCTAATTCATCGCATGCATACCGTATAAATTATGATTTGTTTTTTTTTTAATCTTCAAAGGTGAGGCCATTAAATTATGATTTGTAAATCCGTGTCAAAAGAATTTTGTATAAAAAATTAATTAGATTGAGATTAGGTTAGGGTTAGGACTAAGGTTAGGGTTAGTAGAGTTAGTATATACCAAAATTTTGCGAAGAATTTTTTTTGTTAGAACACGAAAGGTGGTTTCATAGACAAAATTTTGAGATAGATAATATTTCATTTTTGTTACACAAAAGCGTCATGCATGATCTTCAAATTTAATTGGTCAGGTGATATATAACTATAACGCAGAGGTGCGAAGCCTAGGAAACTCCTTTTATTATACCAAAAAATGAAATCAAATATCTTGTAACATATACAAAAAAATTATGTTTATAATTAGTAAGGTTTTAGAAATCAATTTTAAATATGGTCTGATGCAAATTTTTTTTGCACCAGATCATATAACTTAAATAAATTAAAGTATGTTTTTTTAATTTTTTACAGATATCAATGAAAAAAATACTTTGCAGAAATCTAACCTTTTTTAACAATAAAATTATTATACTAAAAATAAAATAATTTTAATATTTTTTTTTTTTTTATCTTTGCAATATTATAGAAAGGTAAATTTTTATTAGATATTTTAGTAGTACATTCTTGAATAATGAGAGTATATTTAGCCATTTTGGCTGCTTATTTAAGTAGTCTGCACCAGTAGTCTGCACCACTACTATGATTATGTCAGCCCATAACCTCATACTGCTTCAATTGAAGACCACTCAGATCGACATATACTATATTACTTGTGCTCTAATTCTATAGATAACTCAGTAGGGTTCTCATACTTATTGGGTTACTTTAGAAGATGTGTAATATATATTTTTTTAATCTTTTTATATTTTACGCATTTTTAAATTAGGTTGTGAATATCTTTTGTAGCAACTGAAACCACTACTAGCAGTTAGAACTAATCATTAAATCACACAATTCCAGTATTTGTGTCCTTACAAGGTTTATTTCAATCCTAATACTCACATCAAACTGGTCTTTATATCAATCCTTTCCAAACTATCAAACTAGTTAGCTCAGATAGGTCATTGTATTTCAGCTTAAGTACTTTTTGGTTTTATTTCTCTTGATTCTTAATTCTGTAACATAGAATCTTTTCCTTTGGTGCAATTCTGGTGGCCAGGTTGGTAAACCCTTCTTGCACCAGGGTTTTTGTTCAGTTCTTCAGTCTCTAGTTCTGGTTTTTTATAGTATCATTAAAGATCTTCATTATCTCCTTGCTCGGGTCTTGCCAAATAGTTTTAATTATTCCAGTTCTTTGGATTTGGATCGCCTGAGAGTTTCTATTTTAAGATAGTAGTACCAAGATTACAGGTAATATACCCAACCAAACATTGAATAAATATTACTAATATATAGATCTATTTTTCTAAAAATATTTCTGGTGAGATTTAAACTCAAGATCTATTACTTGGGATATGATAACTTAATCACTACTCTAAGTTACCACACCTATCTATAATTTTAATATTAAAATAATATAAAATTATACAAACTTTTTTTTAATTAATATAATACTATAATAGAAACTTTATTACAAATAGAAAATATTTTTTTTTTTTATTTTGAATTTGCTATATACATAATAAGATTAGTTACAGATTTGTATCAAAATGATATTAATTTTAAACTATTTATTATATTTTTTATAACCACCTAAGTGTAGCAAACACCTCTTAATTTTT